TCTTTAAATTGGAGCTTGTCATTTTGTTAAAATTTTGTTAAAAATGTAACGCCTAAAGGACATCGTGCTATTTAATAGACAATAAAGAGCGTGTTTTCGTGATCAAAACAAAAACAATTTTACGTGATTTGGTTTATTTTTGGAAGAGTTACGCAATTTTAAGTCTGCGCGATTTTTTTGCCGTTAATTTCTTTACACACTGTATAAGTAAACTTATGATTAAAGTAACGGTAAAAAAAAACCGAATATGATATCCCTTTCTGATAATCAAGTCGCTCTTATTCGTTCTGCTGCGCAAATTTTTTTTCGGGAGGAAAATGACAACAACAACCGGGAGGAAAATGACAACAACAACCACAACAACAACAAGAAATGGGCCTTGCATAAGTTTTTATATTTTCTATTAAACAATAATCTTTTAGAATTAGATGAAGATCAAAATTATATACAGTTAAAAGAGATTTGTCACCGCATTTGGAGCAGAAAGCTTGAGAAAACGCTTGGGAAAACAGGAAATGCGAAAGTATGTGTTTAGAGTATTAGTATTCTAATATTTTTTTCAATAATTATAATTATAATCAATATAATATTATCATTATAGAGCGGCACTAATACTAGGCAAGTTTGCACTTTCTGGAAAAATTTTGAAAGCAAGAGAATGCAACAAAAGCAAGAGAGAATTCTGATGCTGGAGCAGCGCTTGCAAGAACTACAGCTACAAGAAGGAGGAGGAGGACCTAGTTGCACAAACCAGTTGACTGAACTCGAGCAGCTGCAACACAAACGCGTGGAACAGCAACAGCAACAACAACAACAACAGCAACAGCAACGGCGACAGCAACAGCAACAGCAACAGCAACAGCAACAGCAACAGCACCTACTATTACAGCAGCTAAATTTGCCGACTTATATTAGAGAAGAATTAAACTCTCTACATTGCTCATGGGAGACGGACGCTGTAGTTAGCACTGTCTTATTGAAAGAAAAAGTCGATGATTTTGACCTGCAAGACTTAGAACGCGCAGCAAATGCAAGGCGTGCGGTAAGTAAGCATGGTGTATTTATTCTGCTGACCGAAATACTAATTATAATCAATAAATAGTGGTTTGTTAATGACGAGTTTACCAAGAATTTAAAAAACAGACTTTGGTACTTGAGGCCCGAACTGCTCACCCGTTGCGGCTTCTCTTATGAAACATCAGAAGATGACGGTAGTCTGGAACGTAGTCACCTCATGACCATCGCTAATGAATTCAAAAGATTATACAATTTACAATCGACGAAAGATTTTATTATTATTGACTTAAAGAAATACAAGGACATTGGAGAAGCATGCAATGCCATTAGCACATCTTGGTGTACTCTGAATTTAGTATGTCGGATTTGGCACCCTTTGCTTTCATTTTATTTTATGTATCAATCGAGTGATAAAAGAAAAATGGTGGCGCTCAGAGGTCTAATTTCTCATCAAAGACTATACAGTAGTATTCATTTGATACATTTCTTTATAAAAGAGTTTCCCAATTACGGAGAATTTGAAACCTCTATTCAGCTTGATTCGCGTTTAGCATTTTGTGAACTCAAGCTTGAAGATTTTGTCAATGTTTTACCTGGAGAGACCGATGATTATCGTGAATATTTTGAAAGTCTATGTAACTGTCTTACTTTTATCAAAAAGAGCAAATAAATACATATTAACATCGCTAGCGTTTATCATGGTCGTAAGCCAAAAGACGTAATGTGAATTTACAAAAAATGAGTTGTTTACGCTTCTTGCATTTGACGCTTGGCAAGATCCTGATACTCTCGATATTTTATGTAACGAAGAAATGGACGATAGGAATGTCGATGAGTTGATATATATTACAAATAGTAAAAGAGCGGTAAGTAATGTACCAGTTTTGCTGCAAACATATTAACAATTTTTACTTATAAACAGTTGCCCACATCCGACTTTCGCTATAAAGAAAAACTCTGGTACATAAGACGTGCCCTATTGTCATACTATAATAAAACACCAAAGAATCGATGGAATAAAAAAAAACCAAACAATAGTGGATGAATTTGAGCGGGTATATAAACAAACGTTGTTTCCGTCCAGAGGATGGTTTTTGTGTTGTTAAAATTAACACTTCAGACTTTATACGCAATTGTTGGAAGTCTTTGTATGACTTTTATTGGCAATACGTTTGAGGGGACACGTGTACGAAGTTTTCTCGTAACCTTAGATCGTCGTTTGCGTCATTGCAGACGACGCCGATGAAAACAATGAGGTTTTGTCCGAGTGTCTTACATTTACACGTATTAAAAGTCTGTTATAGGAAATCGACTAATAAAATATGCTGGGTACATGGAGTATATGGACGTCATCACGAACATTGTGTAGATTGTTTCGCATTTCGATTCAAATAAATTGAGGTCTTGGGCTTCATAATTCCCATCGTTACAAGGAAAACTCGGAGATAAAAGTTCTCCCCGACTTAATTTAATAATAAAACTCTCCCAAGCACAAGTTTTGGATTTTATTAAGAAATATCAACACAATAACATTTACAGGTTTTTTTTATTTCATCATATCAACGAATGTGTAGATAATCCATTCTGTCCTGTCATTATTAAAATGTTGTTCGGCAAATAAGATGTTACCCTATTCCAATACCAAGAAAATGAAAAGCGAAAAACAAATTTAATTTGCCAAGGAAGATTAAAGTAGATATCGCGTTAATTTCGGACTTATTCTTTATCTCCAAGAACTTGGCGTACTTTATAAGGAACAACTTCGAAGACTTGCTGCTTCAGACTATGATTTAATCCATTAATTCCCAAAGATAATTTGCCAGAAAATGTTGAGAGTGGCCTGGATCGAGCGTAACAGCTCGTACATCTTTGGTCGATTGGCTAACTATTGAATAAAATATATATTGTTAATACCAAACACGTGTTAAATTCAGCTTTAGTACACTCACTTACGGACAAGTGCTCGCATGTAGTTGCCATTTGAATCTTCCAAGAATGTAAGACCCAGCTGTCGATAAAGTAGCAACTGAAGACTGAAATAATAGAATCGAGGAGATTACACACAGTTCCGCGTAGTATCATAAATTTTAAATGTGTTAACATACGCAATGTTACTGTCTCTAGGTTGAATTGTGTCTTCCACATTAGTCTTTCTAATTCGTCCTGTAACAATTGTAATCTCTCTTGATGCGCAGTGATATCATTATCCAATTTATTAATAGATTTTTTCAAAACTGGATTTTTATTGTCCAAATCGATCATCTGCAGTTGATGTTCTTCGGCACTAAGATGGTCTTCTGACCGCGTAGCTTGCTTTGTAGCAGTCGCGAGTTTACAACATAAATCTGGAGAGTATATATATATATGACGTCCGTCATCAAGAACATAGTGTTAACAATAATAAAAGCAGTAGCTCGGGACAATAAATCACAGACAACCTCTTAAAATGGCCCAAAATTCGTCAGATTGTTTCTTCCATATTTCTCGGTTCGCTGAACATCATCGATGGCGCTTTTGATTATCTTTAAGTATTCGCCCGCAGTAAACGTCCGACATTTTTACTAGAACAATCTACAAAATAGAAGAAGTTTTTTTTTGAGCACAAGCCCGCAAGCGGCTAAAACGCGCAAGTCTGAAGAATCGAACTAAAAGCAAGTCCAAAAAAATCGAACTCACTAAGCGCGCTTGGCGAATCAAACTCAATACAAAGTCCGGCTTCAGACTCGCAAGTCCCGAAGAATCGAACTCAAAAGCAAGCTTGGCGAATCAAGCGCAAACAGTCCGGCAACAAGACCACGCATCAAAACCAACTTGCCTGAATAATAGCCCTAAAAGACAATACGTCCATCAACTGTCTGCGAATAGGTGATAGTCTTGTTAGTAATTCCTAGTGAGGGCGGTAAAAGATAAAAGTAAATGGGGCTGACCTCCCTACGCGCAACGCGCAAAGCAATAAAAATACTGATAAGGCGGAATTTCTAGAAATTATATACGTACAACAATCGGGGTGAAAAAATTTGTACTGCTAACCATAAAAATATTGGGTATTCATTTATGGCTCGCATCTGCAAGGCAAGGGGACCCTTGTGAAACGGCACATTTCTTCCCAGCGACATTAATAAATGTGGGGGCTGAAGCTGAAACGCCCGTGACTTGAAATTTATCACGTAATTAACACGGGGTAGGCAAAATATATCACGTTATGTAATTCACAACGGGTTGGATGGACTCATCATTAGCAACATCGTTTAGTCAACCTATCAATCGATGATTAGGCAATAAAAAAGATCACGTGGATTTCCCCATCAGCCGATTTCACCATAACCTCTACATAGTTTTAACTTTTAAATTTGTAGATGTTGTATGTAAATCCCGTCACCATGTAAATCCCGTCAAGGACCCCAAAATAAATAGATGAATGTCGTACGTAAATTCCGTCAAGGACCCCAAAACCGCATTTACATATGTAAATCCGGGATTTACATGGCGACGGGATTTACATACGACATAGATAATTCAGCAATATGACTATGTCCGTCGATACTAGTTGTCAAGTTTGTGAGTGCATGTAGTATTTGCACAACTAGACGACCGCTCAAAAGGCCATATCAGCAAAGCCTATCATAGCAAACGAATTCCTAACTCGCGTACAAGTAAGAAATTTTTGATTCTCTTTTCGCTTTTATTTTTTGAGCTAATCTTAAACAATAAACATAGATCGATCTTACTGATATGAGAAGTCGTCCAGATAGAGAATACAAATACATTGCACACGCAAGAGACCATTTTACGCGGGTTTCATGAACAACTGCCTTGATAAACGAACAAGCCATATATGTCGCAGCCTTTCTTTTTCGAATATTTACACAGTTTGGGTCTCCTATAATCCTGCAATCTGACAATGGCAAGGAGTTTGTGGCTCAAATTATTCACGATCTTGTCGGGATGCGGCCAGAAACGCATATTATTAATGGTCTCCACAGTCTCAAGGACTGATAGAAAGGGCCAATGGAACGTTAGAAGTCAAACTATCTGCGTAGATGGAAGATAGCAATAGAGAAGATTGGAGTGCAGGATTAGCATTTGTAATATGTAAATATTGTCTAATGATTGAAATATGAATTAGAATCAATTGTTACTTTTATTAATTACGTATGTCCTTACAGGGGCAATGAACACACAAACTCGTCGGGCCATCGGAAAGTCAGGCTACAAGAAATGTAGCTAAAAGAAAAATGTAAATTGTTATCGCAAAATTAATAGGAGAAATAATAATTGATGAGCGGCGTACGTCGGAGTTATCGGGGGTGGCGGGATTTTTCAAGTTTACGAAAACTTGACCGTCAGCTACCAAAGATTCGCCATATCATGTTGTGTTTGCACAATATCCAAGGAGTAATTTGAGAGCATGGGTATTAACGACGAAGAGGATATTCCAGAGAATATAAACATTGAAAATAATGACGACAACGAAAGCGTGGAGTTTGAAACCATTGGTGGAAATGCTGATACGCAGATCACAGCGAAATTACACCCAACGAATACAAACCGTATTATTCTTCGGAAGATAATATCGACCTTATAGAACAATATGAAACTGGATATCTTATTCAAGATTCTATGATGTATAAACCTTTCAGTATATTTCCACCACGTGAACGTCGTGCGACATACGTATACCGTTTGGATTGGTTAAGATACACATTGACCGCAACTTTTACCGAGACGGACAGAACATTCGTTTTACGTTGCCTGGATGATTTGAGAAAGTGGAAATGATGAAGAATTTGAAGATAGAGTAATTGTAGCAGTCAAAATCACATCAGAAATCTTTGAAATGTGGCCTGAGAGGATTAGACAATACGACGAACGCCAAATACGTAAGTACCAATTCATATTCATTGTAGTCAATTATTCTAAATAGTTAATTAATTAAATCAAATTGATTCTACTAAATTACAAAGAACATGTCGAAAGTGAACCAGAATTGGCTTCGGAGGTGGTAGAAGCCGGTGAACCGGATGAAGGCTCACAGACTGTAAGCCGAAAAAATTCGTTGTTCTTATAATTACCTCACCAGTTTAAATTTCCAAGACTGTCTCAATTTAAAAGAGTTTGATTGTTCTCGTGCCAAACTTTGATAACCTACCGAAGGGCTTTATTCAAAGGGTATCATTAACCGCTAAAATTCTAGAGAAGTTTAAAATAACTCCGCATTCTAGCAGCCACTATCAAGTATACGGAAAAGAAGAGAGTTTTATGAATACTCTTGATGCCATTAAAGAAGAAGATAACATCAATAAAGGAAGAACTAAACAAGGGCAAAAAATTCTCATGAGGCTATCCGCCAACTTGCAGGAGAGCAAGTACGATGTAACGTCGAATTAATAAGAAATATAATGGTTTTAGACGGTGGATGGTTGTAGTCTGGGTATACTAGATACTCATTATCAGGCGGCTGATTTAAAAGCAGTTGAAGCAGAGTATAGTGAGCTAGTAACACCCAGAAACGACTATCTCATTAACAGCGGTAATTAAGAGACAAAGTGTAGACAACGAAGTAGCGGTTGTAATTGTAAAGCGAACTGTTCTACAAGACGTTGTCCATTTAGAAGGGCCGACAGTACTTGCGGCATTGACTGTCATCGTACAAATAATGATTGTATTAATCATTGATATTTCTTCCTATTGCTATTGCATGTTTAAGCAATCACATTTCTTCTATTATTATTATCCTTCCTTACTACAACACTTTGATATAACATGTCTGGAAGTCAAAACTACTAACAGACAAGCGGACGAGAGATTGAAGTTCGTTCACTGGCTAAATGAACATTATATCCTTGTGCAAGAAGACCTACATGCACCGTTGGTGACGCCGCTGATATGGCGAAGAAAAGATACGTTGATGAGTTGAAGAAAGGGATTGAAAAATACGACAAGTTGGGATACGCTGGTTCTCAGAAACACTTGGACTAGAAAGCGAACCTCAACATACCGCCGAGCATTATTCCAAAAATATTAACAACGTTCATCATCTGTATTATCTCATTTCGGTGAAGCAGCAACGCGATTAAATTATGGTTCGAATCTAGATGACATCCATGCTCTCGGAGGGTTTATTTCGCTAGCGCCAGAGGGAGCGAAAGGGGTTGAGGGAGGAAATCACCAGTGATGGTTGAATTTGTAAATAGATCGGGTGCGACAGTGAAACTAGGAAATGCTGTCTAGAAAGTAAGAAGGATAAAAAACTGTTGGGAATCAAAATATGACGTGACGGGAAGGATGTATTCTTATGTTATTGTTATAGTTTTTTTATTAAATCAAATAAAACGGATATTTATTATTTTAATCGTTCGTGCGTATATAATAACTATGTTATTAAAGAAGCATCATCGCTGGGAATCAGAAATGTTTGTGGATTAAAAATCAATTGGTATTGATGGTATAGATAACATTTTTATGCATATAATACTAAAGTTTTTCTCTTTGCCAGGAGCTGCAAAAATTTCTGTTTAATAAAATTCCCTAGTCATTACTTCTTTGTCGAATTTGAGAGAAATATAACAGGCTTACATACATAATCATATACATGTTATTTACTGTATATTGACATTTTACTGCACCTATTACCAATAAACTTTCACCTATTACTATCCCTTTGCCATTGATTCGTCTTAGAGACTTGTAATGTCCACTGTTTTCAGGTAATAGTAAGTCATTCAGCATATCAATTTTACTATTTATATTACCGTATTTATATGATCTTGGACAAGCACTGTTACTTATTATTATACTATGAAAAACTGAAAATAGTGTTAGCAAAAGTATTACTTATAAACTTCTTTGAGTGATGTCAATGCATTATGGTCTCCAACTGATTTAATCAGGTTTGGGAATATGTCCACCAAATTGTATTAACCATTTACTATTACATTCAATATTTATATTATAATTTTTAAGGTCTTCTCTGATGGTGGATATCCAGTCTGGTAACTTCTGGCTTTTGTGTATATGCTGAACTTATTTAAGTTATAGTATTGAGAGTTAATCAATTTCTCAATAATTATTTTGGGTTAAAATATACAGACCACCAAGTTGTGATAAAACTGTCAATTGCATTATTCAATTTCTATAAATTGGTCTATTATATTGTGATTATTACAGATTTTGAACAGTAGCATATTGAACTTATTCTGCAAGTTATAGTTAGGCACTAACTAATGCAATTATATTCGAATTATGAGCACAAGAAATTGCTGAATGAATACAAAAAACATCCGGTTAGAGCTAAGTTAGAGAGAAATTATTACCAAAGTATTAGTTTAACAGACTGTTTAGTCCCCTTGAACTATGTATGAAGATAATGCGGGTCAGAATAAAGTAATGCCATTATTAATAGGTAATTTTCCTTTATCTAAATATCCTTGGCGAGTTTGAAATTAATACAGATTAGTCTTATGCTTTTTTTATATTAATATAGAATTAACTCTATATAAAATACATTGTCATATTAATATGTTCAAGCAAAAAATTTTTTACTTTTTGATATAAATTTAAAATGCATCAATCAAAAATTTTGTCAGCCACATCAAACATTCCCAATTAAAAGAACAAGAGTATTTGTCTATGGAAATTCTAAAAAAGATTGCGTATTAGTATGCGATCCGACTCAACCTTTCTTACCCTATAGCTAAGTTACTTGTACAGCACACTTTTGGACGCCTGGCGATAACAATATTCAAAGCATACTATGATCTATTGGTTTGCGTGCTATGATTCCTTTTTCTTAATTTTCGTTAATTTAATTCATATTCATATTCATATGCTTAACAATAATTTTAGTTGAGATAGGACAGAAGACATGTGGCCAAATATATTCTGTACAACAATTTATTACGATTGGTTGTATAGCGTTTATGAAAAAGCGTAACAGTTGACAACATGATTACCATAAAAAAGTTGATGAATAGTCTACTTGTAATCAACTTTTAAATAACATGGATTTCAACATAAAAGGTTTCGATAGACGCAGATCGGAAGCAATCATTAAAACTATTCCGAAATGGGTTGATAAAAACCAGAGATATTGGTTACTATAATGAAACGTATAATATGAGTTCACAACTGTTATTGCTGACGATTGCCCTAGCGGATTTTCCAAATAACAATAAAAATTGCGTGTTACTGTATAACATGTCTGACGCTAAAAGTTTAAAGATGATATTAAATTTCATAAGCTTTGAACAAGACTGCATGACCGCCATTTTAAGCAAACTTTAAAAGGATAGTTAAATTTGGAATAAGGAAAGTGGTTGCGCCCCCCCCCCCCGTACTCTCGACTAACAACCGCTGTTTTAGCTTATTAAACCTTGACACAAATCTGCTTATTTCACGGGCAGAATGGATGCAGAGATTTTAAGTGGTTATAAACAAGTATTATGATATCAGTCTCGAAATTTGGCATAAATAATAGATTGTATATATTAATATATTGTATCACTAAACTGAGCACAAGCCCCCAATTAAATTTATAATAGATCATCTCGCATCATATGGAATATATGAAATAGTAGTAGGGATATTCTATCAGATAAGCAACCCATGACACCATTACTAATGCAATTTTCAGGAATCGTAAAATCCACGTTTTCAGTTTCTTTACATGTTATCGCATGCCGTATCTAAAATTGAACTATATTCTATTTCAGAACATTCTCGTTTTCTTATTCCAAATCACGCAACCAACAAACATGATAATCAATACTCTTTTTTTTTTCTTGCCGTTTACAAACGTGACTGGCCAAATTTGCTTCCATAAGCGGGTGTTTAAATCTCAGTTATGTGAACAATTCGGTTTTTGGATGTGCACACATTCTTTTTGTGCAAGCGCTTTAAACCACTATGATGCGAGCACCTGACTCGTATGCGCTGGGCAGTAACACACAAACACATCTTATCCATACCCATCATGTTTATACCACTGCATCCGTCAGACAACAACAAACGCTAAAATGGCGGCTTAACATCCAGTCATTCAAATTAGTACGTATACAATTTTTGTGTATACCGAAAACTGTGCTTTGTTTTTTTTTAAATTAAATGTATGTATGTGCATATTATATATACAGCATGTATTAGGGTGGTACAGTACTTCTGAATAGAAGCTCTAATTTGTACGGCAATTAGAGCATCGCACAAATACTGTGGTTCACATCGAATAACAATAGAACTACCAGTAATACGTGCGTTAATGATAGGTGAAATTCTTGTTATATATTTTTGAATTAAAGTTAAACGTTAAATATTGGTGTTTGATTAATGAGGTTATGGAGCGCCCAGAGGCAAATTTAGCCAGCCAAACAATCCGATCACAACTCGTGACTTTAATAGTTTACTATTGGTAAATTCGTGCAGATTCTCACTCGTTTCGTCGGTTTGGAGAATCCTCTTTTCTATATCGGCTTTTATTCAGCAATTGCTTCTACCATTGTTCGCATATTCCCCATTCCAGTAATCCAAATCGTCCCGCTTCCCCAGACTGGGATAAGCATCGATTCTGAAACAAACATTTCTCCTCAATTTCATCCGATTGCAGTCAACAAGGGCAATGCCAAATATCTCTCATATTCTAATTGGGAACGTTTAGCAAAAATAGAAACCGTTTGAGCTTACATATGTAACTCACAAAGGTCCCCCCCCCTTTCTTTTGCTCATTCTAACAATTTGGCACACATGATCAAATGATATATAAACTAGCGTTTCGCGAGACAAGGGAAAAAAAAAAGCTTGGTCGGCAGACGGCTTTCTTATCATTCCACATTGTCACAAAATTATTTGATAATTCGGCTCGGAAGATAGGAAAGGGAACTTATTGTGTCAGGTAAATACAAATGTAGAGAGCCTATTTCTATTGGATGTATTGTAAACTAGTCCATATTGAGCTGTTGTGAGTCGTGAATCAATAAACACTGGATCAAATATTTCCAATGAATCTCGTTTCGAAAAGATACTTAATTTCTACTGCATGTCAATAGCAATATGAACAAACAATGTACTAAATTATATGTTATCTTTTATATCATTTACTGTTTATTATTTACCGTGTAACGCCTAAATACTAACTGATCGTCAAACGTTACTCTTTATCAACATATTAATTCTTAGGAGATTCTATGAACACTCTCATATCTGAAGTAAAAGGTTGTGAAGCTCTAAGTTTGGCTCAATATTGTATATTCTGCCACAATCCTTCTTAACGAAGAAGGGAATACTACCTTTATTAACGTTTAATTTCCCCTCATTTCTCTCCCTCCCTCTCTCTTTTCACTCCTTTTTACTCTTTCCCTCCCTCTCTCCCCTCCCCCTTCACCTTCCCTTCTCGCTTCCTCTCGCCTACTCTCATTCTCTTCATTCCCTCCCAACTCAAGTGACGTCTGGTTTTTTATCACTACTCCTCTACGCGCTAATTATCACGTCAGGTAAGTAAACAAGACTGAAAGTAAGACTAGGTGGAAAGTGAAAATGCATTGTGCGATAAGAAAGAGACTTGCATTTGGCAACCTACTTCTTTTAAGATTAGCTTCACACACCTTCTCTAATAGTGTAGCATTCATATTTTCACGCTGAAAAGAAAAAATACCAATCGTCGTTATAAAGTGCAACTGTCTTATTTCAAGTTTCTTCTCAATAATAGTAAATGTGGCTGAATGCTCGAAAAAAATTGCCAATTAGATCAAACGTGATGAGCTAACATGCATTCACCGCCACAATAAATAACGTTTTTAACAACCTAATTTTTTAACTTTATTATAGATTTTGACGGTCTGTAGGTGATATTAAAGAATTTAACGTCACGACATTTTCAACTGCTGAAAGAAGCGTCCCATCCATCTCTACATCTGTTATTATCCCACTCATTTCTTTATCATTGTGGCGAAAGTGACGCATGCTGGCTTCATTATTCGGACCTCGCAGCGCAACTGAGCCGACTGCAAATGACGAATTCTATGTCACTCGGCGTTCGAGCGAACCGGCTTCTGCTGGACACGTCTCTGGACAAACTGATAGTGGCAATGGCCAGCGAACTCGTTCCAGTCTAGATAGTGTTACTGGAACTACAAAAAGATATGGTATATACGAGTTTAACTGGCCAGGTGCCAACGCGGAAGATGATAATAAGGGGGCGTTGGATACGAATTCAAACTTTGATACTACTACTACTATCGCACCAGGCGTGAAGACGGCTAATTTTGATTCGTGGGACTATCAAGAAAAGCCCCCGAGCTCGCCTGTCATCAAACCTTTATCTATCAAGAGCACAATAAGTGATCCCCTTGATCCACCACGACCATCGCTAGGTGGAATTCAGGTTACTCAGGTTTCGGTTGTCGAGATTCATGAAAGGACAGACGGTTCTGTAGTTAACTCTGTTGAACCGACCAACTTACCGCATCGTGGAGATTATAACAACTGGGAAGAAGAGACTGATTGGCAGCCTCCGGTTTCGCGGCGGCGCAACTATAAGCATAGGCATTCGTATTCCGACTCCATTATGAATGCAAGTTTTTCCAAGAACTTTAACAAATTGATCAATGGCTTTAAATCCACACAAGACCGGACGAGCAAGAGGACACATCAACTTAATTTTCGAATATCTACAAGACGCAACGAAGAGGATCAAGCACGACCACTCCCGACGTTCGACGAAAGCAGACGTCTTAGACCCAAGAGACGCACGTCAGTAATGACACAGGGAAAACCCAAAAGAAAAAGCGTTGCCGTGAATGCTATCCAACCGCTTACCAAAGTTTGGAACCCGTCAGGTGAATTTCAACCCACCACCGCTAATGGTAGACATATGGTCAGACAATTGCCTCCCTCTGGCCGCCGTCTTCGTCGCAATGGTGCAACGATATATCGAAAGCAAACACAGACTCTGAGTGATGGCGAGAGAGCCCCAACGTCTAACCCGGCCTTTGCAAACGATCCGACAGATATCGAAGATGACTCGGTACCAACATACACATTACGAACACCGTGGGTGCCCAAGCCGATTCGGCCACCACAGTTGCTCCATGCTACACTCGTACCCTTGCCAAGACGTCTTTCACGCAGCAACAGTAGGACATCGAAAGTTGCAGGAGCAAATCTCAGCAGGCGCACAAGATTGAACCCTCGACGACAATCGAAACTTGTCCCATCTCCGTCAGCGTCAGTGACAGCATCAATTGCTGATGCGCGTGGGACACAGGGAATAAGACGTATGGCGTCAACCCGAGTGAGACGACGCAAGCGAACATCAGTCATCTCAAATGATACAAAGAGAAGTTCAGTTATCATGCGACAAGGATTATTGGAGGATAGTATAATGATGTCGATTATGGGCGGTGCGTTAGGAGCGGGCCTGAAAAATGGTTTACTTCATAACATGAATCATAAACAAGAGAAACCTTTGATACGAAAAAGGACTAAAAAGGGCAGTAATGCCGTTGTTCAAGATCGCGAGGCGAGACGGGCACGCAGACAGAGACAGAAAGAGAAACAAAAAGAGAAAATTGAAGAGGAAAATAATGCAATGACACGCGGAGTTGAAGAGCTTGATGAAAAAAGCCGCAAGAATGAATTTCTAACGGCACCTCCAAGAAAAGTCGGACAAGATAATTTCAGCCCTGACTTTACGCCTGACCAATCACCCAACAGCTCCTTTTCCTCCTCTGCGTCTGAAAAACGGAGCATGAAATCTAATATCGAACCTTCTCCTTCGCCTCCGCCATTTCCAACTCATCTCGCACGATCAACAAGATACGGCAATGATCAATTATCTCCCAAATTGATACAACCAAAATCCAGCGAGTCATACGCATACTCTAGGCCACAGAGAATTATTACGGACGTAAAGAAATTTTCTACTGATCGATTTAAAGACCCTGAAACGACGCAAGAGCTAGATGATGTGCCTGCTTTGACGTCAATGTCTACACCCACGTCTCCAACACAATATATGCCGAACAGAAGAAAGTCCAAACCGAGTTTGAATATCCGCGGACTCTTCACCATAAACAATGCCCGTACGTCAATGTCATCGTCAATGTCATCGTCAATGCAAGCGTCAGCCTCACCTTCATCACCACCACCATTGCCGCCGCCGCCGCCGCCGATATCACTACCGCTACCACCCCCGCCACCACCATTACCACACTCAATGCCTACAACTACCCAAGCAACCGTTTCCGTAGTTCCCAGTCCGATAACGCCTAGACCAACCAATCCTCTTTCACCAGGTGTATACGAGTCGACACGCTCGCCACCGCCACCGCCAACTCCCATCATAGTCCCACCAACGAAATTGCCTCAATCACCCCCGCTTAGTCCGATAAAGACCCTCCCAGCCACAGTACTCGGTCGATCGCGGCAGAAAAATGAGCCAAACATGAACGCGTCTATAAGTCCCGAGAAACTATTAAAGATGCAAAAGTTTGAAGCACTGCTTGCAGCGTCCGACGTTGCCGGCGATAAAAAACAGCGGACCAAGAAGAAACGCGCGGATCAGAGTTCGGTAACTAGTCCAGCTTCTCCGGAAATGCCTCTATCCCCACTGTCTCCCATGTCAGCGACGCCGCCAACACGCAATCCGAATTTCGGCAGGATGGTCCCCGAAATGCGGAAAAAGGTTGCCAGCGTGGGCATACCGCCTTCCTTGATTCCGGGTGCAATCCCACAGCTTCCTGTAATGCCGCCATTGCACGTTGATGGTGGTGATAGTCTACGGAGAAGCCTGGGGAAGGATTCGACAAGTGATAGGCAGTCGATGAATTCGATGGCCGACTCTGTCACTGGCTCTGTGGCCGGATCCGTCGCAGATTCTGTTGCCGAGTCGTTTACGATACATTATCGACCTGAAGAAAAGGTAGAACTTGCAACAGCACAGGTCGGGGAGGATGGAGTGCTACGGTTGACGTTAACACCTGCCGTATGTCGGTGATTAGACGCGTTGTGTTATTGATAACGAGGATTTGATTGTTATTTTCTCCTTTTGTAAATCTTAAATTTTTCCTTTTTCTTAACAAATTTCTCCCACTTACTTATTTTACTTTACGTAATGTTTAAATTTACTTTTTGTTATAATTTATTCTGGGGTTTATTTATTTTGTTTTGTAGTTGTTACTGTTATTCATTGCTTGAACGAAAAAGTAGACAGCGTTGACGTTGTATAGTATAGAAAGATTTTATTCCAGCACGTTTGATCTTCCCTATTTTGAACACGTTTTTAATTGTTTGTACATATGAAATAGAAAAGATTGTGATAGTCTCCTCGCAATCTCGCCTCTTTGGAAGATAGTTGTATGCGGATGATAGAGCTTATTTATTTGAGATATACGGTTTAATAGTAGATTTGGCTTTACTTAAAAGTGCTCAATAAAAAACGTGATCGAGGGGAAATAAAATTGGGATGTTGGGGTAAATGGCAAGGAAGAATATGCGAAAATAAAAAAAAAAGAGAGAAAATTTATTTCTGCAAAAAAAGAAAGAAAAAAGAAAAGAAAAGAAAAGCAAAACCGTTCATATATAATATATAATAATAATATAGCAGAACCATCTTTGCTGTTTTCAGCTAACACGTTAGTTGGTTTATTTACAAATACAAATACAAATAAAGAGAAACCTTATACATATTTGATAACATAATAGAGTTATAGCCATGTTACACAGTAATAAGCGATAAAAACGTGACAGATCAGTAATATAATAATGTTTTGTTCATCTCTGACATTTCCACATCAATTACCATTATTCTGGTTTTAGCTTACAAATTGCATTGAGCGAGGTTAGACGATATTAATTAACTATACATTAAAAGCGCTACATATACGGGATTTAAAGAATTTTCTATATAATAATAACACGTAAACAACTATATTATAATTAGAAAGTATTGCATCGCTTCGATTCACAATTGTTGCCTAAATATAACTTAGTAATATATTCTATTATTATTTTTTTAGTCGTACACCTTCACATATTTATTATTATACCACGTAGGCGTGCAAATCGTTATTAAGCAAAAGTATTAGACTTGATAGCGTCATGATTTAAAGCGCAATGCAAGGACTACAAACCTTGAGCGTTTACTTTATTCCTACAATTTTTGGTCTTGTCAAAATTTTCAGTGTCTACATAAGAATTATTGTATAAGTGCTTGGGAATCGAAACAACAGGAAACAATTTACTATTACTATAGCAGACCAGAGACGAGCAGGCTTGGATTTTTGTTTTCATTTCTGACTCGTGTTCCGGCTCCAGTATATTTTGTTGTCTGGTAAAAATAGTTAAAAGTAATAAATTAATTGAACAAGTTGTTTAGTATGTTGCTATTACTATGCTTAATATTAAGTAGTATGTACGTGTTACAAACTACTCGAAACTAAGAGAAAAAAAAAATCCCATGCCGCACTGCAACCAGCAATCTAAAAATTATAAAAAATGGTTTGTTCAAACTTTACCGAATTTGTTAACAATCAATGTTTTCTCCCATTTTCTCGATTGCACTTGAAAACTTTTAAACGTGGAGTTTACAAAAGTCATTACAATACTGTCCGAGATGTCTTGTTATTTTTTTTCTTTATGAATTTTCGGAGCATTTTCTTATCGGTATTTTTTTTTACAATTGCCCGCACGTTTTCGATAAAGTTCCAAGCCCAGACTGTTGAATGATTATTCGCATCTCTGGAATTATTGTGTTGGTAATTTGGCAATCTAGCTAGATGAGGGATTATTATTTCATACACAAATACCATTTTTGTTTCATCACTGTAATAGAGTCAAACATTGTGCTTTTCTTTTGAAGGAGGCATTGTACATGTATTTCTCAAAAGCTGTTGTAAAATGACACTGTATATACGTTGAATTGTAACTCAAAACACAGGCTTTGTTGTAAATTTGCTGCGTGCATAATGTGCTAGACATTTACGTTTATGTCAAGTGTAAATAATTGTACCTCAGTTCCAGACTGTTGTTTTTGGTTTCGGAACTGAGACAACTGAGTTCTGGATTGAGCGACTTGGTGACAGGTTCCGAACTTGGACACAACATAACCAATGAAAACTCAATAGCATGTGAAAATCAATTGAACGTATTCTACAATATAATATTGTAAAAATGTCGATGTCAAATATTTCGTTAATATGCCACTTACTCGAAACAAAAACTTATCATTATTGCTGCTATGACTGCATATGCAATTACTGAACCCATTATTACTCAAAGTAACTATGATTGACAGATACTCTTGTACTTATTGATAAGAAAATTATTCACGAGTTGACGGTATTGTATGTCAAAGACACGTGGTTTTTGGGTCAACATTTTCCCTCGAGAATGAACATAATAATTTTAGAGCTCATTTCCTGCATATTTTTTTACAAAATTCGGAGGGTAGGATATAACCGGGTAGGGATTTAAACGTGGGCGAATGTATACTTCAGTTGTTATTCCTATCTCCAACTATATATCTTGGATCCCAAAGTGGGGATATAAACGAGGTATGACTGTATATGCTTACGATCACATGACAGCAAGTCCAAACGGACAGAATTGTGGCGTGTGATAAAACAATTATTATATAATTCATAGCTTTTTTGCCTAGCTTGGCTTTTGATAAGAGAAATTTTTTAAAATGTCAGCGTGATAGTAACATGGTAATGCAGACGTAGTCAATTTGATTGCACTTTTTGCTCAAAAACTAGAGTTTACAGAAAAGCAAGAACATAGTGATTAGGTCATTATTCTAACCATATTCTACGATATTAATATTTTATTTCCAAGCTACGATATTCTGCTAACAGGCTCGCTAAAGCTAATGAAAATCTATTTTTGACAAAATATATTAACTCACTATTACTATTACTATCCATTATTATGTTACACATACATATTAATATGTGTAACTCCGTTGTTTTTAAGTATGATCATGTTATTTGCTGCGTAGATTGTACTATCGATCGCCAATATTTTTTCCGGCAGTGAGTACATCACCCGTTTACTATTACTCTGTTTGTCAGTTCCGCGTACGATTTTCAGCCCATCCCTCTTATCCATACGTTGTAGCGATCTGTGTATATTATCCACTTAAAAGAGCGTGGTTTCTCACGTTATTAAATTATATGTAATATTGAATACCGACACAATAAACAAATCGTTGAGGATCTCCTCAAAATGGGTTCCTTCCGTGTATGCGATAATAATGACATATTGTTGAATTCCAGATCCATGTCAAGAAACACAATCATCATATTATAATTATTATAACAACGACCGCAGATTGTTTTACTACACTGACGTAACAAAGATAATCTACAAATACTGTGTGTCATCACAAAGGGTTCTAGTCTCTGAAAATTACGGGGCCGTGGTGCAAATAATGCTATCAACCAGTGGCTGTATGGATCATCCAGCTAACCGGTTGGCGACTCTTTAGGAAATTTATAGAGTTTTTTTTAACGATATATGGTTACACGAAGTGGAAGATACAAACAATCGACAGTAACATAACAATGTCAACGGTTGCAACCGATGATAACGGCGAACGCATTCAATAAGCGCAGCAACTAAAGAACAAAAACTGAATAGAATAGAATAAATAAATAAATATATATATAATGATCATGCAACGACAATGCGTTTCCCCCAATCGCTTACCTATCGACAGTATTCGGTAAGACATTTTACCGAAATCGGGAATGTGCGATATGTAACACTTATACAGTGTGTTTTAGATATAGGCCAAATATGTATGTCAGATATGCTTAAAAGATTTTCCATATGCCAAAGTGAGTATTAATAATATTTAATAATATTTGTGAACCGATTGTCCATCAAGTTCAAATCAGGCTTCGGTTTCGATTAGTGCAATCGATATTGAAGATATGATGTTGACATGATACGAATGCAAACCTTATATAAAGAGGATGGGGGGTCGGAGCAAAGGAAAGGATACCAAAATAAAAGTACACCTAGGACTGTTAAAAACGACATTTAATTGATAGCTGTATAAATATAATAATGACACACGAACTAATAGTATGTTGTTCCCTTGCAAGTCTTTTCCTTTTTTTCTTTTTTTTTCAACTGACTAACGACATGCATGCTTTTACAGGACTCTACTTCAAAAGCAAGTAATGATGCAGCAACAGACGACAGAACAATACGACGCTCGCAACTGATCCAAAACACCGCTCAAGGATCGTCAGCGAATAATGCTGTCTTTGTAGAATTTCATGGTCTTTCTTATCGTATTCCTGAAAAGTCTCAAGATGTAAGGCCATGGTGGAGAACATTTCAGACAAAGAAGACAAAATACCAGTCGTCAGATGTGGAAAAATCTGAACTTCACTACAAAACTATTATCGAAAATATTCATGGATGTGCTAATCCAAGTATGGTTTTTGTATTCTTGATTTGGATGGGGAGTTGGCCGAGTGGAATAAATCGGGTAAGGTTTGTAATTATGTATCGATATTGCAGGTCTCATGGCTATCATGGGTCAATCGGGGAGTGGTAAGACGACATTATTGAACATCCTTGCCGGACGAGTGACAAAAGGTGTTACCGGAAGTATAACAATTAACGGGGAAAAGCCTACAAAGAATTCCAAGCGCTTTATAGCGTACTGTACGCAAGATGATACCTTTTACCCATTACTAACCGTGAGAGAATCGCTAACATATACAGTAAGTTATGCACGTGCTCATTGACCATATTTGCCTCGTTTCAGGCTAAACCTTTTTCGTAAATTTTTTAATATGCAGGCATTGTTACGATTACCGAGATCGATGACCAAAGCTGAGAAACTGCAACAGGTGGAAAACGTCATTCAGCTACTTCACCTAACAAAATGTGCAGACACAATAATTGGTAGCGATCACATACGCGGCATCTCCGGAGGAGAGAGAAAAAGAGTAAGCATAGCAGCCGAATTGCTGACGGATCCCAGCGTAATACTACTCGACGAACCAACGTCAGGATTAGGTAAACTATCAAAAGAACATGCATTTCCCCTTCCCAGCATATTACGAGTGTGTAAGATCTGATAATTCCTCTTGTAAATAGATTCGTCGCTTGCGTTCGAATTGGTAAAAATCTTAAAGGAATTTACTGTCAAGCGTGGAAAGACAATAATAATGGTCATTCATCAGCCATCGTCACAAGTGTTTGAAATGTTTGACAAGTTATTACTTATGTCAGATGGGAAAATGGTATACTTTGGAGATAGAGCTGATGTTGTGCCATACTTTGCTGGCGTCGGGTACAAGTGTAGAGAAAACTTTAATCCCGCTGATCATATACGTAAGTGCTCCCCCCCTTTTTTTCTTTTCCTTTTCGGTAATCATTATTATATTAACCATTGTTGGGTTTCATCACAGTGGAATTACTAAACGAAAAGGAATCCAAGGAACGTCTTATCGATGCATATGCATCGCGAGTATCCGATGATCCAACGGGCAAGCAAATAGTTCATCGACATAGTCGACTCGTCGAAAATCAAGACAAGGCTCAAATATTCAAACCAATCAAAGTCGAACATCGTTGGGAAGCGACGTTCAAACAGCAGGTTTTGATTCTTACTCACCGTGCGTTCAAACAACGACGGCCGGTCATGTTATCGCGATTGCATGGAATTGAGACCATCATCCTTACGACTATTTCGTGTTTGATTTGGTTCAGGCTGAGTATGGACGAGACGTCCATCAATGATAGGAGAGGATTGGTGTGTATACAGATTATTACATTTCAAAAACTGGTGTGGATGAACGGGGTTAACTAATACGATATTTTCTTTCTTTGTGTTGTAATAGATATTCTTCAGTTGTATCTTTTGGTCGTTTACACCGTTGATTACTGCAGTTACATCATTCCCTTTGGATCGTAGTCTGCTCAACAAAGAGCGTCAATCACGATCATATCGTCTATCATCCTACTTTATTGCCAAACAAATAGCTGAATTCCCACTTGTGCTGGTTGCGCCTCTGTTCTATACGTTATTGGTATACTGGATTGGCAACTTGGTGGATGACTTTGGTAGATTCGTTGCACATATGGTAAGTCTAACAAAACGTTGGATCGATGGTTACTTTCGAGAGATACTAACTGGGCATGTGGTTTACCCCCTCAAAGGCTATCACAATGATAACTGTGCTCACTGCACAAGGCTTTGGATACTTCTTTGGTGCAGTACTAATGGATATGCAGCAGAGCATGAGTACGTATTTCCTTTGATGTGTCCTCTTCCGCATGGTCGATTCATTCAGGAGGGAGGGCTAACAATATAACCTCGTTTTTAAACAGCTGCGAGTACAGTGTTTATGTTATCGACCATGTTGTTGGCCGGATTTTATGCAACAAACATTCCGTATTGGATAGAATGGACATCATATATCTCATTCTCCCGTTATTCATTCCGCTTGCTTATGCAAAATCAGTTTCTCGCCGGATCGTTCCGGTTGGAATGCGTCAGTGGGATTCGCAGTGAACTCGCACAATGTGCAAACGGTGCGGATTTTGTATCGGGTGAGGAAGTGTTGGAACATTTAAAGTTGAATGATACAAAGTGGTATATCAACTTAATTTCGGTGTTTGCTTACTTTGTGGGAATTCGTTTATTGGCATACTTTGCTTTGCGCAATTATGGAAAAAAGAAAACGAGGTAGTAATCTGCCCTGCGTAATTTATTAATTGCTAATAAACACAAATAATATGTAGCGTCATGCAAGACTGCTACACCAGATTTTTCTGCTCTACTTGCATATCATTTAATGGGTGGTTGAATTTCAATATCGCATTTATGTGCGGGCATCGAATCCCTTCCAACCCGCAGAGTTAAACCCTACAACTTATGTACGTCATATTTTATCACTACAATTTACAAATTTGAGACTCGTGATATTATATAAAACTCGAGTAGCCGTGTTCTAGGAATTCAAATCCAAGTGCAAAACAGTGAATGTCTACAGAATCTTTTTTATTGACAGGCAGTTAGGGTTAGAGTGTAGAGGAAGACACTAATACAAATCCAATTCCCATTGCTTAAATAATCATTGCCGCAACCTATACTTATTCAACAATTGGATCAGAATAATCCTTATCTTTCGCGTCTTTCCTAGAGTATTAAGCTTTAAAAATTAAAAGCAGAAAAAGCTAACTACCGTATAAAAGAATTGGTGCATTGATGGTTAATAATCACTGGACATTATTGACCAGTCATTTCATTTCCAAAGTACGTGTTATATTGTTGCATAATCGAACACTTGAATTTGCAAGTTGATTTTCGTTTTTGCATAAAGTAACCATTTACTGAAATATTTTAAAAAAAAATTATTCTCGGCCTCCCAAATTTGGGTGTTCTGCCGAGAGGGGGTTTTCACAATTTAGCTCGTGTCGCTGCCCCTTGCTACAACGATCGCTCACTTAAGGCTGAACTAAACTGAAAAGCGACAACAAATTATTTATGTGCGCGCTTCGCTTTCACTCCCTATACGATGTATTTCTCCTATACTCGTATCTAAATAAGGGTACTACGATAAATAAACAACAACAATTAAACTGTCGCGGAATCGAAGGGGAAAACTATGTTTAAACAAGACGGTCTTCGATATAGTGTTCGATTAGTCGGGAAATGTCACTTCTCCTAATAAACAATTAATTTATTACGAACGGGAATTTATTCCTACAACCTTGTGAAACCATTGGTCACGTAGGAGTGTCAATAATTACGTGTAATAGAAATGGAACAATAAAAAAATAAGTTTCGTAATATTAAATGATTGTTTATTATTTCAGTATCGAATATTATTCGATTCACAATATAAACATTGACAACATGAGAATTTTAGACGGCTCTACTGTTATTGAGATCCGTGTTGCGCTATGCTGGCTTGTTGATTACTGTATTTTGCATCATATCGCAAAAACTTGGGTGACATGTTGGTCAGTTTACGGACTACCATTTCACAAACATTGTTCTGGAGATCACCCATGCACACCGTTCTATGCTGTTTTGACATCCGATGACGAGCGTGTTCTTTCATCCAACCACCTCAGTAACTTTCCCCTCATCGAATGGCGTTGGAACTTTGTTGGGTGGCAACAAGTATACATAGTAACGATTTACAATTCCTGGTTTGCATATCTCGTAATGATGATCCCAAATGAAAACACCCAAAGAATGACCCTTTAGGTCTGATTGCTTTATTGATCTACATGTGAGACGGAAAAACTATCTATTGTAAAACAATGCCTCTTCGAGCCTAGCATTACTTTTTGACGAGCTTTTTGATTCTAGCCC